AGAAAATTATTTTTTCATTCAATTTTACAGATATTGTTGTGATTTGAGTTTGAAATTTTGTGATGGTTTGGTACAGTTTTGCTCTTTTAGTTTGCTATTTTAAATGCCCTTTGATGAAAAATTTCTTTTTTTTTTTCTTTTTCTGTTTTGTCAAATAATTCCTTTTATTTACGTTTTTTTTTATTGCATTTCTTGAATAATTGTTCCTCAAAAAAAGAAATTAAATTTTTTATTCTATCCCTATTTTTTACTTTCATTTTTCTACGGATTATTGAAACACAATAGCTAAACCTTCAGTGTTTGTTTGAAACGTTTTTCAGTTTGCATTTTATTTTTGTGTTTTTTTAAATAATATATTATTTGTGCCTTAACAATTTAAATTTTATTCTATCCCTATTTTTACTAAACACCTTTCATGTTTGTAAAGTGAAACTGAGAAGAAACCTATAAATCCTTCACTATAAATCCTTCACGGAGACAATGCTATTAAATGGCGATCCACAGGGCTTCAATTTCAAAATTACATGGAAATATCAGTTCGGATATCCAGTGGAGAGGTCATTCAAAATCATTAATCAATGATTGGAATTTGAAGAGAACACTAGAAGTCGACCAAGCAGACCCTCAATCAGTGACGTTGTATTAAAATTTATCCGTCGGAAGCATGCGAAATCAGTTGTGAATATTATTTTGAATATAAATTGTGGAATCTCAAATAGAAAGAAATACATGTAAAATCCATAGTAAGATATGATAGCCTTGCAAGGTGTTCTATAATACAGGATTAATCACGGTGCAAATTAAAGAGCAAAATTATAGGCCTATTTCAAAATGTTTGAATTGCAGACAAGAAAGAAGAAAAGTTAAAAGGTAAAATGTCTAAACGATCAGCTATATACGACCGTTTTATAACTAAATGATTAATAATGGTCCCAAGCAAAATATTTGTTGAAAAAAAAAAAATATATTTGCCTTATGTAAATGCGGACTATTGTTGTCATTTTTGTTGTTGTTACCATAAAGTTTCCACAGATGTGTCCCCCCCCCCAGACTTCATCAGGTGTATACCATAATTCAGAACTGAACGCTTTATTTAATACACGAAGGTAAACTGTTCTCGTTCCGCTGCCCATGTGTATGGATATCTCATCTATTTCTTATTTTTAGTCCTGCTCAGTTATTGCTCTCCCTGTTTCCACTCTTGTCCAAGGACACACGGACCGACCCAAGGATTGACCTCACAATTACTATATCACCAATTCCGAAATGAACCCTTTATTTAATCTACGTGGTTAGACTGTTCTCGTTTCACTGCCCATGTCTAGGGATATCTCGTCTAGTTCTTATTTTTAGTCCTGCTCAGTTATTGCTCTCCCTGTTTACACTCTTGTCCAAGTACATACTGCCTATTGAACTCACACTTACTATGCCACCAATTCCGATACTTTCATGGTAATTGCTCCGATGAGCTGCTTTCGCTGGTTCCCAGACTTCATGAATTCAAGCGCCCTACGAGGCTGGCATCCCGCTCTCACCCTTTCACTGTTGAAACTTTAAATATAGCCGTCGCTTCTACTCCAATAGCTTCATATCTCGCACCTCTCGCCCGTGGAACTCCCTTCCGTTTTCCTTTTTCCCTGATAGCTATAATCTCCAACTATTCAAATGTAATGTCAATCGACATCTCCAGTTGCATTGATCTACCCACTATCCTTCTCCTCATCCTTTCCTCTATCACTCCTATCTGATCTTGTTCCAAATCATCTCTAACCCCTTGCGTGCTAGTGGCTTCAAGCCTTGCTTGGAGTGAAATGCTTTAAAAATATCTATTGCGATAAAATTCTCATTTGTTATTTCCTTAAGGAGACTTTTCCCTTCGGTGTTGAAACTAAGACTCCTACCGATTCTTTTGGTAAACACAAATCTCTGATGAAGTCGCTAAGTCTTTCTTGTTCAAATAGTATCGGTTCAGATGATAATCCCTCAAAATCTTTAACATAATCATTCCCGCCGATGTCGATGAAATCATTCACATCATCTGGGTCCGATCCTTCAATGTCGCTGGACGTAAAGCCTTACAAGGACTCTGTGAGAGGTCTCATAACTGAATTCACAGAAGGATATTTTATAGACTTTCATTTCTGCTTGTTGAGTCCAGCAAGGTCAAATAAGCAGAAGTAAAAGTTGTCGATATGAATTTCTGGCTCTTGAGAGATCATCGGAATATAAGTAAAGTTTGGCTACTCCTAGTCCATTCATGTTCCTGATAAGTTTTGCAGACAGCAGGTGGTGTCCCCGATTTGGTCTCATCGCCCAGCGTCTCTTCAAAGTAAGCAAAATAAACCTTTCTGGCAAAATTCTTGCCGGTTTTCTGTTATTCATTTTTGTAAACTCGTCACGGATGAAATCAGGATATTTTTTCGCTTTCTCTGCTTGAACTCATTGACGAGGCAGCATAATCGAGAGATAAACGGGTGATAATAACTTTGTATTCGGGTACGAAGTAAAAGAAGACTTTATTTGTGTCCACAATTTACACTTAATACTACATATTGCATATCAAATAAATTCAAGAAACTTATAAAGCGTGTTTCAATAACTTGGATCAATTTAAATATGAATTAAGTTTAAGCGTCTAACGATTTTTTTTTTTTTTTCAGATTTAATAACTTAAGTCTTTGTCAATTTCAACCATGGAAAGATTAACAATCAAACAATGTGTTAAAGTTATCGAAGCCTATTACGAAAATGGACGTTCAAACGGAAATGCATTTCGCGATTTTTTTTTTCGGGTCGATTATGCCGAGAGTGCAATTGGAAAACTAGTTCATAAATTCAAACAAACTGGTTTGGTGGCAGATGTGAATCTCAATAATAATTCGCAAATCATATTTCAGTGTTTAGGCGGAGACGTTAGAAGTATAGAGTTGAAGTAGACTTTAGAAGGAACCGGAAACCCAATCCTAAACAGGAAACAAGGGATAAACCTCTACTCCTATTCAAAAAACCTATCTATTCCTACTGAAGGAAGAAAATAAATAAATAACATTTCAGAGTTTAGGTGGAGACGTTAGAAGTATCGAGTTGAAGTAGACTTTAGAAGGAACCGGAAACACAATCCTAAACAGGAAACAAGGGATAAACCTCTACTCCTATTCAAAAAACATATCTACTCCTACTGAAGGAAGAAAATAAATAAATAACATTTCAGAGTTTAGGCGGAGACGTTAGAAGAATAGAGTTGAAGTAGACTTTAGAAGGAACCGGAAACCCAATCCTAAATAGGAAACAAAGGATAAACCTCGAGTTCGAATTCACGAGGTGTTCGTTATATTCATGTTTGGGCGATCATGAATCGAAAAGAGACATTCACGTCATGGCGTGTCACATCCACCTCTGCTAACACTCATAGCTAATGAAAGACCTAAACATTGCCAAGAAAGACCTAATTTTTATATTCGGTCGACCCGTTTTAGAGATAATGCCGTTTTCGTATTTCTGCTCTGGATAAAGGCAGGAATCTAGTTTTTCCTGCATTATGTACCATTTCTATTCCTTAATCATATTCTGAAATGATTTGCTACCAGTATCTAATCTTCACGCCCAGCGAACCACCCTCGTTCAGTTTGTATTCCATTGGTGAGATGTAAGTCCCACTTGAGCAGCCTTTTGCCCACGAACCACTGCTTTGTGAAAACGACACCAAAAAGTGTGCTACCCTGGTCACTACACTCTTAGACTCGACATCTTCTGGTTACCGGACCTTGTACAGGGTTAGCATCATAATTAAAATGAAAGAAATTGAGAACTTGATTGAAAGAAAAGAATTGGGGGATAGAGAAATTGAAAAAAAGTATGTTAAAATAAGAGCACCAGGCCGAAAGTATCGGGAAGCTTGTGAGGATCGAACTCATAATACAGTTGCAATTTGCGGAGTGTTTCCTGATAAGGAAACAATTAATATTACCATTACCACCAAATCTTTAATTATAAGTTTACGCATTTTCGGTATTTATTGTATAGATTTTACGGCTTATCAACCTTTTGATAGTTATTTATAGCTAAAAAACATTTTTTAAATTTTAAGAGTATTTGTTTGAGATTATAATAACACAAGTTCTACTAATTAACTCATAGCTGGTGGAGAAGAGGTGGATTCATATCTTTCGCTATGGTATTTACGCGTAAGTGAATATAACCAACCCAACGAGAATTCGAACTCGGGTATCAGATTTACAGTTCTGGGCCGTTATCCACGACAACAACTGATCATTAAAGTTTACAGCACCTGTTGTTCCTATAGCGTTCACCCATCTATCTGTCCGAATTTTAACTTTTTGTTAAAATGAACGAAATTTAAAGAGTATTTTATAATCTCTAATGGAGCTGAACATTATTTTTAGGTTTAGATGCATTTAAACAGATCAAATTTTATTTACGTTATGGTCCAGTTCCTTCTACTACGGTGATAGTCCAAGATAGAACTAATAAAGAAGAACTCGAACACAGGTATGGAATAACACAGATATATTACAAACAGGAATATATACAGAGAAGTAGAAAGTGTTAGTATGAACAATCAGGTTTAGTAGCGAGAACAATGTAGTCTCGAACAGTATCACTATTCCAATGTCTTGTAGTAATTGTCTGAACGTGACTCTGTTTCGGACTGCCTCTGACTCGACTCTTCACTCGACTTGAACTACTCCTGAGGCGCAGTATTTATTAAGTATGGAATATTCCATTATTATTATTATGGGTAAGATCCCATAACAATTTCAGAGAACAATAAAATTAAATTTAGTTTGATTAAAACCCTGCTAACATGGAAGTACCCAAGAATCATTTGAGGCACATAATGCTTTATGAGTTCAAGAAAGGAAACTCAGCAGCCGAAGCGGCTAAAAACATTCACTCAGTTTATGGAGAGGAATGTGTGAATGAAAGAACTTGCAGAAGATGGTTTGCAAAATTCAGAGATGGAGATTTCACCCTTGAAGATGAAGATTGAACAGGACGTATATATATATATAAACATCTATGTTAATTTTGTCATTTTTATCTATCACTCTATCTATCTATCTATCTATCTATCTATCTATCTATCTATATATATATATATATATAAACATCTATATTCATTTTGTCAATTTTATCTATCTATCTATCTATCTATCTATCTATCTATCTATCTATCTATCTATCTATATATATATATATATATATATATATATATATATACAGCTATATTCATTTTGTCATTTTTATCTATCTATCTATCTATCTATCGATCGATCGATCTATCTCTCTCTCTATATATGAATTTGGTCATTTTTATCTATCTATCTATGTATCTATGTATCTATCTATCTATCTATCTATCTATATATATATATATATATATATATATATATATATATATATATAGTACTGAGCCGTTATCCATTACAACAACCGATCATTATAGCTGTTGTTCCTATAGTAGTCACCCATCTATGTACTGACTAAGCTTGACGTTGTTTAACCTGTGATCGTACAAGGACCGGTGTTTCAAATGATGTAGAGATTTGCATAATACTTTCTTGTGACAGTTATTTATAGCCAAAAAATATTTTTTTAAATTTAAGAGTATTTGTTTGAGATTATAATAATTTACCCAATACAAGTTCTACTTATGAGGATCGAACTCATAATACAATTGATATATCGAGACAAGCTTGCTAACCACTCG